GCTTCTCTTGAAGCATCCTTGCGCAATGTTTTCATAAAAGCCATCTCTCCTTCAATTCGATGTCCTTAAAAGCTTCATGTAAATCGTAGTAGACCTTTGGCTCACAGCTGAGGGTCCTGCCGCTTGCCGACATTTTTCTGGATTTTGTCAAGATAACCTTTACGCTACTTTCTATACCGATCTGGTGGAAGCCCGAGAATCTTTGATCATATCCTAATAAATTTTATCCGAGGAATTTTTATAAAAAAGTCAAAAAGTAGCTGCAGAACTTTCGGCTCAACTGAATTTTTCGGGTAAATCCTATTGTGCAGTCAGAAGCTAAATAGCAAAGCTCTTCAAAAAAAGTATATAAATTTCTTTAATCGACTTCGAAAAATGGGTAGAACACACTCAAAGAACGAATTTTTATGCAAAAAATAAAAAATTGTACAGCGTATCGCTTTGGAGCTACATTTTTCTGAAAACGCCGACACCAATTAATTCTAGGAAGTAAATCCTACATGGAGCGACGAGAAACTCTTTCAAGAAGCACGAAGGATTGTTATCGCGCAAATTCAGCACATTACCTATAACGAATTCGTACCTATCATAGTTGGTAAGGATAACCTACGGAGATACTCGTTGGACTTGCAAACAAACGGATACGACAGTCGGTACGATATGGTAGGAGCGAGAAATTTGTCTAGGATTCCAAAGGTTTTAAACATTTTTACATTTATTGGAGAACATCGATAGTTCAACGCTGAACGTGTTTGCATCAGTCGTAGGACAATTTTTTCTTGCTCTTTTTCCTGATCATATCTCATTAACTGATAGTTTCGGGAATCACAAGCGAGATGAACCCTTAGGAAAGGTAAGCAATGAACAAAGTATTTTCGCCTTCACTTACCTTACTTAGTTAAGGTCTTCAATGAGCCTTCCTTTATCTATCAAAGGAATCGCTTTGATGCCGTTTTGCGATTCTTGACACAAACACCAATTATGAAGCCCGGATTACACCTTACTCCGGAATTGAGGAATGCCTTTAAAAAAGGTTTTGAACCTTTGCTACGCTTCGCTATATTGAATGAATGTTCTGAGTGAAACGGCTTTTTGGTCTGAAAATGATAGAACCACAAAGTCTGCACTTTTTAGGACAATTTGGGCATGGCATTGACATGGCCGCCTTTCTTATCCAAATGGGCAGAGATCATGGTATTCCTAGCTACTTGCAGTGGAGGCGATATTGCAATCTGGACAATGCTCAGTCGTTTGCATCCATGTCCAACAACGTGAGTAAAATACTGGGTTGCTGTTGCTCGTGCGGCTTTTTTGCACTTGGAAAAGCTCGTCTAATCAGAGGTTTTGGCGACATATCGTGCGTCATTCAGAAGTAAAATCTTACCCTAGTACAAGGAGCTGGCTTTCTTTTCGTTTTGATTTAGTTGGTTACTGATTTACTAGATTTTTTTGAGTTTGAGAAAATGAAGAATGCTGGTCGTTAC